GACAGCGCGGCGATGTCACCCGTCCTCCGGGGCGAAGGGCGTACACGTTTTTTGTTGAGCTAGGTGCTCGACGATGCGCCTGCGCAGGGGCTCGTGAGGGTGAGGGACCACGTCATTGTCGTTGGGGAGGTTGTCGAGATTGTCAAGGGCGAGGAGGACGGGGAGGATGAGTTTGGGCTCGTGTATGCTGATCGGAGGTACCGCTGTGTTGGCGATGGGATCGTCAAGGGGGAGTAGCCCTGTTGGGCCTGGGGCGTGTACAGGGGCTCGGTTGTTCGTGATAGACGGTTGTGAAATCGGCTTATAGAGTGTACAACACAATGTATAATGAGGATCACCTTGGCATGGCAGAGAGGCGCAACAATGGTGGTCCTGTCGTCTCTGCGAGGCTTGGCTTTGCGTCAGGTTTGTTGTGCGTTCACATAGCCCCGAGACTACTTCGAATTCAGGTTGTGGCTTTGGTGGTAAATTTTCATGTGCCTATATGTAGATAGACCATGAGAAAAAGAGAACGTGGAATGAGGGCCAAGTTGTTCGTCCCTCGGGCCTGCAAGGCGACTCATGCCTTACGGTCTTTAACCTCTGATCAACCACACAAACTTGATGTTGTCCGCCTACTTCTATGACGAATTTCTATGTAGTTCTTGATAGGCCCTCTCGTAGAGCGGTAGAACTTTCTGGATCAGGACCAATTATTCGACAAAACGTGAATACAGTACAACATGACCTTGAGAACAAATAACTGCACCTTCTCTACAACCATAGCCCAGCACAGCGTTTCCCAACCGCAACGGCATGGACTATCAGCGAGTCAGGCCCCAATCAGGAAGCAGTATCGTCAACTCAAGTCATGGCAGGCAGACGCCGCACCAGCTTGATTGCATCGGTGATTGGGAGACAACGTAGGCAGGTAGCCATCGATATCCTCAGGCCAGGGTGGACCACCGTGGCGGATGCTCAACGCGGGCCCCACAGTGCTTAGGCCAGTGCCTGGACCAGCGCCTGGACCGCCTGGGAGCCTCACCGACTGGCCATTGTTGCTTGGACCAAACGCCCTGGAATCCGGGGTCCAGGCATTGCCCCTCAGCCTCGTGGAGGCCGGTCCTTGCGATAAGAGGTCTTATCGGAAGGTGGGAGTGGCATTCTGGAGGCTTCGCGGTGACTCAAAGACGACTGCCAGAGCCGCCTGGAATCCACGAGAGCTTCCCAGGCCATGACCCCCCCATGGGTGAATGGATGCTGCTGCAACCATGGGAAATCCACAATATAGAACTGCATCGAAAAGCACAAGGCCAGACAAGGCAAGGGATCAGAAGGAGGCAACTGCTAGACCGTCTCTTTTTTCGTAGGTGTTCCCACAGCGCCCGCACATCTCAGCCAATCATCGTGCACCATTCGTTGCCGTGGTGGCAGGGCAAGCGAATCAGAGAAGCGCCTGGAAGGTGGAAGGTGCGAGAAGGATAGAATCGCATAGAATTCTCCAGGCGCCGCAGGGGCTCCTCTAGCTTGGGCTTCAGGTCTTCTTTTTTACGACCGACTGCCGCAGCTGCTTTTCTCCTTCTCTCCCCTCCTCTCAACACAAATTTCTACTCTCCTCCCACATACCACTCACTCTCCATCCCATCGCATCATAGCGAACTCTACTATTCTCTTGAACCTCTAGACCCAAGAGTTTCTTTGCAATTTCCCTTTAGGTAAGCCCTCTCCCCGCCTCGCCGAGAGCTTCCCCCCTCATATCCCACACAATCGCTCGACCCCTCCTCTCGACTCGCCGGGTTGGCAGCCTTATCCAGTCAGCACGCCGTAGGAGACTTGGCCAGTGTGCTCATACTTCACCGAGTCTGTTCGCGTCAAGCTCCTTCCCTGCTCGTCTCCATTCCACATCAGCGAACACTCGCCTGGCAACCTTGGACTAACCAAGCCCCCAGATCACGACCGTCACGCTTTGATACCCCCCCGCCAAGATGTCTGAGACTTTCGAGTTCCAGGCTGAGATCTCTCAGCTGTTGTCTCTCATCATCAACACTGTCTACTCCAACAAGGAGATCTTCCTTCGTGAGCTTGTCTCCAACGCCTCCGATGCGCTCGACAAGATCCGCTATGAGTCCCTCTCGGACCCCAGCAAGCTCGACTCCAACAAGGACCTCCGCGTCGACATCATCCCCGACAAGGAGAACAAGACCCTGACCATCCAGGACTCTGGTATTGGTTTCACCAAGGCTGTAAGTTTTGCTTTACCAAGTCGCACTTTCTTGCTAGCAACATACTGACCTCAATCACAGGACCTCGTCAACAACCTGGGTACCATTGCCCGCTCTGGTACCAAGCAGTTCATGGAGGCTCTCACCGCAGGTGCCGACATCTCCATGATTGGTCAGTTCGGTGTTGGTTTCTACTCTGCCTACCTCGTCGCCGACCGCGTCACCGTCATCTCCAAGCACAACGATGACGAGCAGTACATCTGGGAGTCTTCTGCCGGTGGCACCTTCTCCATCCGCCCCGACACCGAGGGCGAGCAGCTCGGCCGTGGTACCAAGATCATCCTTCACCTGAAGGATGAGCAGACTGAGTACCTCAACGAGGCCAAGATCAAGGAGGTCATCAAGAAGCACTCCGAGTTCATCTCCTACCCCATCTACCTCCACGTCCTGAAGGAGACCGAGAAGGAGGTCCCCGATGAGGAGGCCGAGGAGACCGCCGCCGATGAGGACGACGACAAGAAGCCCAAGATCGAGGAGGTCGATGACGAGGAGGAGGAGAAGAAGGAGAAGAAGGTCAAGAAGGTCAAGGAGACCTCCATCGAGCAGGAGGAGCTGAACAAGCAGAAGCCCATCTGGACTCGCAACCCCCAGGACATCACCCAGGAGGAGTACGCCGCCTTCTACAAGTCTCTCTCCAACGACTGGGAGGACCACCTCGGTGTCAAGCACTTCTCTGTCGAGGGTCAGCTCGAGTTCCGTGCCATCCTCTTCGTCCCTAAGCGCGCTCCCTTCGACCTGTTCGAGACCAAGAAGACCAAGAACAACATCAAGCTCTACGTCCGCCGCGTCTTCATCACTGACGACGCCACTGATCTCATCCCTGAGTGGCTCAGCTTCGTCAAGGGTGTTGTCGACTCTGAGGACCTTCCCCTCAACCTGTCTCGTGAGACTCTCCAGCAGAACAAGATTATGAAGGTCATCAAGAAGAACATTGTCAAGAAGGCCCTCGAGCTCTTCACTGAGATCGCCGAGGACAAGGAGCAGTTTGACAAGTTCTACTCTGCCTTCTCCAAGAACATCAAGCTCGGTATCCACGAGGACTCCCAGAACCGCCAGACCCTGGCCAAGCTCCTCCGCTTCAACTCCACCAAGTCTGGTGATGACATGACCTCTTTGACCGACTACATCGCTCGCATGCCCGAGGTCCAGCAGAACATCTACTACATTACTGGCGAGTCTCTTAAGGCCGTCACCAAGTCCCCCTTCCTCGATTCCCTCAAGCAGAAGAACTTTGAGGTCCTCTTCCTCGTTGACCCCATCGATGAGTACGCCATGACTCAGATGAAGGAGTTCGAGGGCAAGAAGCTTGTTGATATCACCAAGGACTTCGAGCTCGAGGAGACTGATGAGGAGAAGGCTCAGCGTGAGACTGAGGAGAAGGAGTACGAGGGTCTCGCCAAGGCCCTCAAGGAGGTGCTCGGCGACAAGGTTGAGAAGGTCGTTGTCAGCCACAAGCTCGGCGACGCTCCTTGCGCTATCCGCACCGGCCAGTTCGGCTGGTCTGCCAACATGGAGCGTATCATGAAGGCCCAGGCCCTCCGTGACACCTCCATGTCCTCGTACATGTCCTCGAAGAAGACTTTCGAGATCTCCCCCAAGAGCTCCATTGTTCAGGAGCTCAAGAGGAAGGTCGAGGCCGATGGTGTCAATGACCGCACCGTCAAGTCCATCGTCCAGCTTCTGTTCGAGACCTCCCTGCTTGTCTCTGGCTTCACCATTGAGGAGCCCGCTGGCTTCTCTGAGCGCATCCACAAGCTCGTCCAAATCGGCCTCAACATCGAGGAGGATGACTCCAAGACCGAGGAGGCTCCCGCCACCGCCGCCACCACCACCGAGACTGGTGACAGCGCCATGGAGGAGGTCGACTAAGCGGTTTTCATGATAAACACGGGATACCAGAAAAGTCAATGGAGTTGGACGGTTTTCGGGTACGGTTGCCCTTGGACTTGGCGTACTTTCCTCTTTTCGCGCGTTGTTGCAGCCGCATAATTCCTTCCCCCTTCGTCCGCATGGAGCGGCGTGGGTGTACTCTAGCTAGCTCGTCACGATTATGAGACCGATGAGATGCAGAATTGAACGGTTAAGAACACTACCTGCCCTTGTAAATGTGATGCGCCATTTGACGCTATGGCTGCCCCTTTGGCACACCTGTGATCCTCAGTCTGGCTCATCGTACGACTACACATCATTGCATGACTACACAACCCAAAACGCACTTCAACGTTAGCATTATGCAGTGATATTCAATCTGTCAATTTCATCCTCGTTGCTTCAAGGTGGGATATGCCATCCTCCTAATGGAAATTGAACCCATGTCTCCTCAGCTCATACGCGCGCCTGTCAAGTATATCCGAGCATCTTACCCTCTCGCCGTAATACCCAGAAAGTGAAGCCTGGGCAGGCTTTTGTCGCAATCTGTCACATCCCCTACACTGGACTTCATCTTCCAAGTCCGGATACCTCCCGCTCTACAGCTGCCCAAACCTGCGCCGCCCTCCAGACAGATCCTGTGTCCGTGTCGCCGTCTCCCGGTCGTCCCAGGAAATCCAGACAGCGCTGAGTTCGCCGCCAGCATGCGCGCTTCACCATCTGGTCCGCACGTACCTCGTCTCGATGATCTGGCCCCTCTCGTTGGTGTGGTACGTAGTCTGCGGCGTCTGCGGCGTGCGCTCGGCAGCAGCGGCCCTGGCGGCCTTGCGGCGGAGCGCGTACTTGATCTTGCCGAGGACGGAAATGGGATAGTCGGGCGGCGGGTTGTTGGGGATGGCCGTCACGACGCGGGTCGTTGGGTAGAAGCGACTTGGTGATTCGGGGGTGAAGACGGGTCTCTGTGCGGAGGGCATTGTAGGCGGCTCAGTGATTGAGACTGCGTTTTCATGGGAGTGCTTGGGATGTATTTGCTTGTCGTGGGATGCTGGCGTGAGACTGGACGGCCATGGTGCGCGGGGCTGGGCAAGGTTTCCTGTTCGTTCCTTTGTCTTTGAGGGGCAAGCCAGGCTTGTAAACGTGACCCTCGTGCGAGGTATAACGCGAAGGTGGCCGCGGACCATGTTTCTTGCTACTTATTGAAGTATGCCTCGGGGCAAAACCGAAAACGCCTGACAAGGCCGCCAGATTGGGTAGTGGTGTGGTCGTTGGTCATGTTGTGGTGGCTGTGTCGAATGATGAACGGGCCTGATGTGCAAGACATGATCGCCCGGGCTAATTGAACAGTCGTCAGGCTGAGTTGAGCCCGGGCTCATTCACCATCGTAGAGCCTGTGATTGAATTTGTTTTTGGCCCGAGTATGACAATCCCTATTGATGCCACAGACTCCGCCAAATCGCCGCTTGATGATCGGGTTTGGGCAGGGCTGGTGGCGTGTTCGCCTATTATGGCATTTATTGACTGGTCACATCTCATCGAATTTGACTTAGTTGCTGAAGCTGCAGGCAGCGAATTTGTTCGGATATCTCGCAGAACCTCCAGGATGGAGTCATGCAAGCCTACGGAAGTCCTACACCCTCATGTCACCTCTAAGCTCTCGTGTGGCGCAATCTTCCCACCTTGAAGTCACGATAGCCAAGGAGTAAGAAGCTTAGGGAAAGCTCAGGGGCTTGAGACCACTGCAGCATGTGTGAGGGCTGCGAAAGGCCCTCCTAGCTGCGGAGGGTTCGAATAAAACATGTATCCTGGCCCCGAAACTGACTTTTGACTGCGGACATGACCTGTGGAAGGCTTCTTCATCCTACTCGTCCAGCCGCCTTTGACATTTCCACAGCTGCTTGGCAGGTCCCGATCCGGATCATACCTATCTTGAACGCGGCCACACACATACTGGGAATTGAACACCTGTTGGCGTCCATCGGAGATCATCAAGGGCGCTCAGAGCTGTATTTTTGTATCGGAATTCTTCCATAGAGCCCTGAGAAGGGAATGGAGGCAAACTTTGGGCTATAAGTCGCCCAACTTATGTTCATACTATCTTATGTCTCATGTAGGAATGCTTCGGGGTCTATCTCTAAGGATCCTGTCTACCCTACCTAGGCGTTATCTTTTTTTTTTTTTTTTGTGGAGTGGATTAAATGGATTCATGATCTGTGGGCAGTTCTGTCTGAAATAAGGCTCGAGTTTATGCATTATATGGTATTACTTCTCGCTGAACGGAGGCGCAGGAGCCCTGTTTGATGTACCTCGCTACCTGGTAAGGAACCATTCGCCCCAGTCCGTGTCGAGACAAGGTCCTTGGGATAGATTTGGTGGTTGTTGAGAGGGCTTCACTGCTTATGTGAACCCCAATTAAGTACTTTGGCTGTGCCTGAGAGCTTTGAATAGGTAGGGTAGGTGATATGAGACAATGTGATGCGGTTGATGCTATCTCTTTGAATTACCGCTACCTTCGTGAATCAGATATACCCATCTGATTCACCGATCATGTAAGCCGTGATTCACGTGCTTCTGAGAGCTGTGAATCCCGGTCTCGGTGATCACCATATCGGTGAATCCTATACGGTGATCACCGCCCCAGGCTATTCCCTATTATTGGTTCAGCAGTAGTGTTAATTGGCCCCTTGGTCTTTTCTTCGGCGGATTTGCGCTCTACCGATCCTTCACTACTCGACGAATTAACAACAAGACTATCGGCTTTGGCGAGCTTGATCCTCTTGGGCCTGTTTGCCATTTGTCAGTTGGTTAAGATTCATGGTTTATAGAGTTCAGATGTTAGCAATACAGGAGATACCTCCTGTCAAGGCAGTGAAGCGCCACGCACAGTGTGGCCCTGATGGTCCATGTGGCAATAGTTGTTGGCCAACCATGGTTGACTAATAGTTGCAGATCAACTTCCTGTGCCCTCTGGATCTCCCTTTTAGAGGTCTCGTTTGGCTCTCACAATACTGTGACTTGCACGCAGGCCACACAAGAATCATAACGCCCGCGGCTACGGCGTAGACAGCAGTAATGGATGCTCCGATGATCAAAGATCTTACCTCAGGCTCATAAGGCAGGCTGCTTTTGTTCGGGTCAGATTCTGCGCTTCCCATCTCAGATGGTGAATGTACACGACTTACAGTTCCGCTAGCCAGGCTATGAAAATGTTGCCTCCAGCTAGACAGGTGTTCGCAATAAAGGAACTTGCGTTCGTAGCGTTCAGGGGGACGTTTCCTAAGTTCCATGTTCAGGTACTCATGGTCACGGCAGGAATGAGAGCGATGATACCTTCAAGTCTAATGAGCAGCTGTCTGTTGTTCGCCAACTGGCCTGTAGCTCACTAACATTGAACGACGATGATGATTGTCCATCGCGACTTGAGCAAGTCAGACAGCCTGCACCAGAACCAGACTACGATGTTGTCCATACTATTTCTGCTCGTTGCAATGCAGAGGCTTGGCATGGCGATGGAATACAGACTTACGAGTGACGACCTGAACGGCCGCCGCTCCTATGGGCAAGGCATTGACTTCCCTGACGGTCCAGAGTGGCTGCCCGCTGCCATCAAGGAGGCCCGTCAGCACGCGGCCTGCAGCACAGGATTGACGTCTTTGTCGACGGAGGGGTACGTCTGTGCACTGATATCTCAAGGCGCTGTGTCTGGGGGCCCGCGGCGTTGGCATCGGGCGCGGCCTGCCGTACCCCCTGGGCGCGTATGGCCAGCCTGGCGTCGAGAGCACCGTTCAGCTGCTCCAGGAGGAGCTGGAGCGGGGAATGCGTCTCCTAGGCGTCAGGAACGTGGGCGAGCTGCATGCTGGCCTGGTCACGGCCGACAGCCTGGCTCCGCACTCGGGGTATCACATCGACGGTCCTCGAGAGGCGCTCTACGAACCACTCGAGGTGATCGCGCCAGAGGCAAGTCAAAGCTTGAGACGTGAAGCGCCGCAATTCCAGGGCACAGAAGGGTAAATCCAAAGGGAACCAGCCCCCTAAGATGACTTTTCGGTTTTAGGAATAGCTGTCATGAGCTTCTGCTGCGCGTCTTCGTGAAGAGAATCCACAAGAGGATCCGCCGACCCGCCCATCGTGGAGTTCTCGAAGCCCATGTCCTGCGCGATTTTCCAGCCTAAGTAGCGCCCAGAAAACGGGGCAGTTCATCAAAATCCTTCCATAGTGTAGTTGGTTCATCACGTTCGACTGTAACTGGCTTCCATTCCAATCGAAAGGTCACCGGCTCGACTCCGGTTGGAAGGATCTCACTATAAGAAGCTCAGCTTCTCTTTTTTTCTTTTTCGTCGTGGTATTTACGTTCTCAGCAGACCTAAACGGCCAAATGCCTGATTTTAAGTAGGAAAACACACGCTACGATGGGGGAACCTGTCGGGCTCGTTGTGGTCATCGAAATGCGACTGCCAATATTGATCCCCTGCTCCAAAGTGCGAATCATTTGCTTGATGAGGCTCGGCATCCGAAAGTATCGCTGCGAACGAGACCCTAGTCTGCTCGAGCCGTAGAGTGCATGAATCTTGCCTGTCCCTGACATCCACCGCCTGCTCCTCGCCGTCTACCACCTTGGAGCAAGGCCGACCGAATACAAGCCACTCCACCAGGACCGACACCTCCCAAGCCTCCCGTCACGGTGTCGAGCCCTAGGCTCTCAGTCGGCAGCAGAGAGTATAGCTCTCAGCCGCCAGCCAGTAAAAAAAGTATGCGGACCAGCCGATCGGAGGCGCCCCCGCACCGGCCGAGAATAGCGGCACCGATGACCCACCCGGACCCGGCGAAACGGCGCCCAACCCCGGGCCGACCGAATATCACGACCATGACATCTCCACTCCCTACGGCACGCGGAAGAATTCCCAAGGATACTCTACACCATGAAAAGAAGTATCACATCGCACCATCCTCCATCCTCTCGGCACACATCTTTCTCCGTCATGCCCGGCCCCTCCTCTCGCTTGGTTCCCCCGCATTTCAGAATCGACACCAGCAAAGAGGCTGATGTAAACATACCCAGCACAGCACCCTACAGGAACGCGAAAGAACAAGAAAAAGACACAGCCTCCCGAGCCGATCGCATCGCATGCCACCCCGCAGATCCTCCAATCTCCGCTTCTCCCCCTCCCTTCCATCCGCTCCATACCCCAGATCTAGTCGTGCTTCGCGCCAGCGATGCCCCGCGCCTCCTCGGCCCTGACTTACCCCGACTCTCTCCTCTCTCGCTCGACCCCGCCCTGTCGATCTTCACCAGGCAGAATGCAGCAGCAGCAGCACCAACCCCCGTCGATGGCCTGTCATGCGCGAGCCACGAAGAAAGCCTGATCCCCGTCGTCGGCTCGGAAAACAGCTTTGTTTGGGGGAGGTGGCACTGACGATCTCGTCGGGTAGGTCTGGGCATGCCTTTAGAGGGCGCATCGTCTGCACAAGATGAACCAGGGGCCTTAAAGACGAGGAGTCCATGGCGTTCTGAGCTGGTGCAAGCAAGTGCACACCTTTTCTGTGCTCCTTTTCTCCTCTCCTCCCTCCTTTCCTTTTCCAAAGGTGCACCCAACAACGTCTCGACACAACGAGCCAGCTTCACACCATGGCGTCCCTCCTCCGCTGGGCGACCCTCGCCCTCGCGCTGACGCCCTCGACGGCCCTCCTCGCCGCCCGCGACGATGGCACTGCCAAACCGTGGGAACTGTACATCCAATCCCCAACCTCGCGCACCATCTCGCCCAAGAGCATCTACGCCATCAAAGGCGATGCGCTTGTCACGCTCTCGTCGGCAGGAGAGGGTGACGAGGAGGAAGCCACGGAACCAAGCTACATTTTGACCATGAACCCCGGCGCCCAGATCACGCTCGACTTTGGTTACGTGGGCGGCCTCCTATCGCTGAAGGCTGACACAAAGGCGACGACGCAGCAGTTCTCGCTCGCCTTCGCCGAGTCGCCGGCCTTTGTGCGCGCCATCTCCGACGACACGGGCGCCGTGCACACCCAGGACTACGACAAGCAGCTCAACGTCACCGTCGCCGCGGGCACCACGGCCTACAAGATGCCCACCGAGCGCTTCCGTGGCGGCTTCAAGTACGTCACCATCGTCGCCTACGAGGCCGTCACCATCTCCGATATTGTCTGCCACCTTGGCTACTCGCCATCGCAGCAGGACCCGAGCAAGTACGACGGGTACTTTTGGGCGCCGCAGGACGACACCCTAGTGCGCGCGTGGTACGCCGGCGTCTTCACGGCGCAGACGAACATTGGGCCGCCCTTCACGTCGCGCTTCCTGCCGCAGGTTAAGGACGGGTGGGCGTACAACGCCTCGCTCGGCGTCGAGGGGCCCATGATGCTCGATGGTGCCAAGCGCGATCGCGCCGTGTGGCCGGGCGACCTCGGCGTTGCCGGCACGACGGCGTACCTCGGTCTCGGCGCCGCGGGCCTCGAGAGCATCTACTATGCCATTGAGACCATGTTCTTCTACCAGAATAAGACAACGGGCCAGACGCCGTTTGCGGGACCGACGACGGGCTCGTGGCGGAACGGGGCGCTGAGTGACACATACCACGCGTGGACCATGATCGCCTGCTACAACTATGCCATCTTCACAGGCGACGCCGAGTGGGTCGACAGGTCATGGGGCAACATGACGGCGGGACTCGAGTACATCTACCGAGCCGTGGACAACAAAGTCGGCTTGGCGAACCAAGCTTTCCCAAACGACTGGGCGCGTCTTGGGGGCGGAGGCTACAACTCGGCCCTCAACGCCCTCGACTACCACGCCCTGTTCGCGCTGGCCTCTCTTGCGGCCGACACAGCGACCAAGGACAACGGCCGCGCCGAGCAGGCGAAGAAATGGGCGACGGCGGCGGCCAAGCTGAAGGAAGCCTTCAACGAGGTGCTGTGGGACGACGAGCAGTCCCTGTACCGCGACAACGAGACGGACCGCGGCGCCCTGCTCTTTCCACAGGACGGCAACGCGCTTGCTGTCTACTACAACCTCACAGTATCCTCGTCCCAGCAGGCGGCCATCTCGAATGCTCTAGCAAAGAGATGGAACGCCATTGGGCCGCTAACGCCGGAGCTGCCGGATACCATCTCGTCGTTCATCTCCTCGATCGAGGTGCTGGCGCACTTTACAGCTGGTAAAGCGGCGACGGGCCTCAAGCTGGTCCGACGCATGTGGGGATACATGCTGGACTCGCCGCTCATGACGGGGACCACGTTGATCGAGGGCATGTCGGCCAACGGGTCTCTCTACTACCGATCGCAGCGCAGCTATCGATACGACGCGGCGTACACATCTCTCAGTCACTCGTGGTCGACGGGACCGACGCAGGCGCTAAGCTTCAAGGCTGTGGGACTCGAGGTGGTCAGCTGGGGGCGATGGGTGTTCAAGCCGCTGCCAGGCGATCTGACAAGCCTCCGCAGTGGGTGGACGAGTCCCCTGGGCGACTGGGAAGCTATCATTGAAATCGAGGGTGAGGGTGGTGGCAGGAAGGTGGCCATTGAGCTTGTGACCCCAGAGAAGACTCGGGGTGAGATTGTGCTGCCGTGGCATTGCGTCAAGGTGACGGTCGACGGAGAGACGTACGATGGAAGTGAGGTGGAGGGCGGAGGTCGGAAGGTGATCCGAGGCAAAGGTTGCCGACTGTCGACATGTTGAGGTACCTTAACTGGGAAGGGAGGTCACTGGGAAACATGGGGTGTATTTGGACGAAGTGGGTTTTTTGTCGCCAGTTTTCGTTTTCGTCGCAGCAGCTCCAACACCTTCGGCGCCGAAATGCCATTAAAAGTGTATCTTGCCGTCTGATTATGCATCATGCTCGGGAATTGGCGGGCAGCCGGGGGGGTGGGCACCTTGCACCAGCAAAAAGCCGACTCATTGCGGTATCATCCGTCGAACGGTGCGGAAGCTCCGGCGGTTCTTTCAGGTTGATGGCGATTCGTGCACTCTTTTGGTCGAGGCCATCCTTGATCATCGCCCTTGGCACGTGGCACCGGACACAGAGTGAGGCGATCGGCGACCGTTCGAGTTGATGCGAGGCCCAAAGAGGGTCACACGCTGCATCGGATCGCCAATGGGCGGATTCGGCGGCGCAAACAATAGTGACAGTGAGCCGGATTTGGCGGTTCCCTTGACGTCAGGCAGGTCGGGGTAGGGCTGAGTGCTACCAACCTTCGCAACACTGCCGCGGCCATATCGGCTCTAGGGGTGGCTGACTCTGGCTGTCTTGTGAGTGGAGGGAAGCCTTGTGGTGGATGCCGGCACTCTCGGTTTGCTGGGGGGTTCGATAAAATAGACACGCTCCTTGCATCGCAGCCGGGCTTCTCGGAACCTGGAGACCACGCACACGATCATGATGCAGAGCGGAATGAAAGAGGAGGTGAGAACATGGGATGGAGAACGTGTTGATGTTTCTGGAGAGATGGTCATGGCCTCCATCAGGCAGCAACATGGTCGTGGAAGGAAGGACAGAGAGATGTACAAGATACCTCGCCAAGCTGAGGTAATCCGGCCCCTTCGATGTACCTAGGTAGGGAAGGAGTGATGTGCCTCAGGGAAGGAGGGATGTACCCTAGGGAAGGAGTGACGTAGCACTGGGTGGAGCTTGCTTCAGGGTCGAGGGGCCTAAGGGGAATGGCCCCCCAGGTGTTCCCAGACCCCCCCAGGCCCCCCCCAAGGCCCCCCCAAAACCCGAGCACCCGAGCATCCAAGCTCAGCGCAACGGCAACCAACCCAACCCACACCACAGGCTTCTTCGCGTTCTGTCATCCGTCCCCTTGATACCACCTCTCGGACTTCGGATCCTCTTTACTTCAGGTCCTCTTCTTGATTATTGCGATTCCCTTTCTTGCGTCTTACGAATGCCGGGGTCTTTCTCCCTTTGTGTTATTAAAACGACGAACCCGACTCAAACGGCTGCCTCGCTGTCGCATCATCTCCACTTGTCGCCATATGTTCTGAGCGACCCCTTAGACGACCCATCTCCAGAACTCGACACATGTTCCGTCTTGCCTCCTCCACTCTGAACCCACGTCTTTCTCCTCTCCGCTGCTTCGATTCTTCGACCTTCTTCTGACCTCAACCCCCCGTCTTTCCCCCCCTACGAACCCGTCCGCCATAGAACAGATGGAAGCACGCCTCACCTCGCTCCATTCGACGTCTTGACATCAACCACTACCCGAACCACTTGACGACGAGGCCACACAATCATACACCAATTACCTCTCTGAGCCCCTTCATATCGATGACCATGGCTTCCACAGCCACCGACACGCACACAAACGGCCATACCAATACCCCTGTCCACGAGCACGTCCTGCGTCCTCGCCCGAGGAAGGCGGTCCACTCGCAACTGAGCACCGTCAGCAATGTCTCTGAGACGTCTTCCACTGGCGATGCCAGCAGTTACAGGAGCGCCCTCGCCGAGAGCGGCATGACCAGGTGCGTCTCCTCGGCCGTCACTCTAGCTCTTCCACATATTCTTTCACAGACTCTTTCACAGACACACACATGGCTCTCCCCAGTGCGCTCCAGCTAACGTCTGCAGTGGTCGCTCCACGCCCGTCCCCGCCGATGCGCCCCCCTCTGTCAAGTCCATCTCCTCCGCAAAGAAGACTGCCCGTGCCGAACAGCGCCGTCGCATTTTCCCGACCATCGAGTATGCCAGCCGCGTCTCGCACTTTGACCCCAACTCCGACTACCGCGACTTCCATGGCTTCTTCAACCTCTTCTGGATCGGCCTTGCCATCATGGCCATCACGACAATGCTGCGCAACATCAAGGACACTGGCCACCCCATGCGCGTCCAGATCTGGTACCTCTTCACCATCAAAACGTGGCACCTCGCCATTGCCGACTTTCTCATGGTCGCCACCACCGCCGTCTCCGTGCTGATGCACCGCGTCTTCCGCGCCGCCCCCGCCAACGGGCCCCTCACCTGGAAGACGGGCGGCATGGCCATCCAGAGCCTCTACCAGGTCGGCTGGCTCGCCGTCTGGGTTGCCGTGCCCTTCTGGCTCGAGTGGACCTGGACGGCCCAGGTCTTCTTCCTGCTGCACACCATGGTTCTGCTCATGAAGATGCACAGCTGGGCCTTCTACAACGGGCACCTCTGCGAGACGGAGAAACGGCTGCGCGCGCTCGACAACCCCTCTGGCGCCAACCGCGACCCCGCTTACCTCTATCCGACGTCCGAGGACCCCTTGCGCGATCAGGCACCCAAGAGCCCCAAGCAGGCCAAGCCCTCCGAGAAGCACGACGACACCAACGGCAGCTCCAAGAAGCGGACCGCCAGCAGTGGCAGCAGCGAGCTCAAGCCAGCCGATGCTCTCCTCAGGACGGGAGGTCATGAGAGCGACGAGGAGGTCTCGGACCTGCGCGAGGATCTGGCCCGGGAGCTGACCTCGCCCATGGGCAACATTGCCTACCCGCGCAACCTGACGTGGGCCAACTACCTCGACTACCTCCTGTGTCCGACCCTGTGCTACGAGCTCGAGTACCCGCGCGCCCCAAACCGCGACTGGACCTCGCTCATCTCCAAGATTGTTGCCGTCTTTGGCTGCATCTTCCTCTTGACCATCATCTCGGAAGAATTCATCCTGCCCATTCTCATCGAGTCCTCGCTCCGTCTCAACCCGCCCATGGCGCCTGGCATCCTCCCGCCGTCGGCCACCGAGCGCCTCCTCATCCTTGCCGAGACGGTCTCCTGGCTCCTCTTCCCGTTTATGCTCACCTTCCTCCTCGTCTTCCTCGTCATCTTTGAGTATGCTCTCGGCGCCTGTGCCGAGATGACGCGCTTTGGTGACCGCCAGTTCTACAACGACTGGTGGAACTCGACCGACTGGATGGAGTTCTCGCGCGAGTGGAACATTCCCGTCTACTCCTTCCTGCGCCGTCACGTCTACAGCGCCTCGCGCCCGCACATTGGCCGCATGCGCGCCACCGTCATCACGTTCCTCATCTCCGCCATCGGCCACGAGATTGTCATGGCCTGCATCACCAAGAAGCTGCGCGGCTACGGCTTTGTCTGCCAGATGCTCCAGCTGCCCATTGTCATGCTGCAGCGCACCAAGCTCGTGCGCGGCAAGAAGACGCTCAACAATGTCATGTTTTGGGTCTCCATGGTGATGGGGTTGAGCATGGTGAGTTCAAGGCGCAGGCCCCTGATGCATGGACTTTTGCTGACCAGTCCAGATCTGCTCCCTCTATGTTCTTGTATGATTTACGTTGCACCCTCACCCGTCTGTGAGGGGGGAAACATACTCGGCTCTCTTTTGCCGTCTCTCTCATGTTCATACGCCCACGGCCTGCGTTCTGTACCATAGACTTACATTATACCCCGACCTCTACTTTCATGACATTCATCCTGGATTCTCCACCGAGCCTTTGTTCTCGTGCACAATGTACCCACCCATTCGTCCCTCTAGCTCTTCGAAAATCTCGTCAACAGAGGTCTAGGGCCCAGCCTCAAGCAGCAACATGATACCCACCACCGGGCCTCCCCACCATCCACGAGGGCGATTGGTTTAGTGGTATAACGTCTGCTTAGCATCTGAAGAAAAAAGTACATCGTCACGACGATCTACGATGCCTGCTGAAGGTCGCGCGTTCGATTCGCGCATTGTCCATTTTTTGTGTCCGCCTGTTTCCTCTGCGGCGCCGCTAACTGGCATCAGCGTTGTTTGCTGTGCGGCGGATCGCGCACTGCGGGGCGTGGAAGGTTTTTTTTTTCCTTCTAGACTCCACCCCTTTGTTTCCATTGAGGGAAAAGTGGGGTGGGATCGGGATGCTCGGGTTGGGTGACTGCAACGTTGCCCTGGAGAGATGGACTTGGTGCATTGGAGGGCGGTTTTGGTGTTGTGGGCTGTGGGCTGGGGGATGGGGGAAGAGGCTGCTGTGAGGGTATTCGGCAATTTTGCCCGCGAGAGAAAGTGAGCCAGTGTGCGCCCACCATGTCGTATGGATGGTCGTCGAACATCCTGACCGAGGATAACAGACGTTGAACGTGGGCAGTGGCGGCGGTCGTACACAGGACGCACGACTACACGGCAAGTATTCTAAATGATCAATTCATCTACCTGTCAACACCATAGTGTCCATCACATCATAAAAACCCCTGTCCGTTCCACCCAGTCCTTCCAAAGAATATAGTGCTCCCGTCACGTAACTTTCTGTTTCCCTCCAACCGACGTGAAAAAAGCATACGCCTTGCGCCAACATGTCGCTCCAGGATGGTCAAGAGAACTCCTCCCTCAAAACATGTACATAGTGGAGATGCGGCATCAACTTGAAAATCGCAAACGAGGGGCCAAGATAAACAAAGTAGGATCCAGCCCGCCGGAGATCGAGCGGCTCGCGCCCGCCGGTCCGATTCATACACAATACCACCATGCAAAGCATCGGATGAAAAGGATAACTGATGGTAGCAACTGCATGCCCGGGCTTGAACAATGAGAAGGCTCATGAGCAAGTACTGTGACCCTTGCGTCGAGCCGTTACCTCATGCCTCCGTAGTCCATCTCGCCGCCGCCCATGCCGGCCATCGTGGTCAGGTCGCCCGTATTGGACCGCTGCAGAGCGTGGAAGTCCCCGACCGTGCGGACCTGCCCCTGCTGCGGCATGGCGAAGCTGTTGGTCCTTTGCGGCGGCTGGCGGGGCATCTGGTTCATCAAGCCTTGCGACATGGAGTGCGATGTGGGCATGGACGCCGTATTCATGCCCGGGGGGCTGGGCGTCGACGGAGAGTTGAAGCCGTTCATGCTCTGACTCTGAGGGAGGGCGTGTTGCGTGGCGTGTTGCGACATGTACTGACTCTGGAGCATGTGATTATGGTGCTGGTGCTGTTGATGAGACTGTTGTTGTTGATGTTGTTGCATGCTCTGGAAGCTCATCGAACTGGACCCACTCATGGACTGACCGACAGGCGACATGACCTGCTCGGGAATGGGTGCGCAAAAATCGTTGAGATGCTGGCGAGGAAACTCCATGCCGGGCGACATGACGCTTGGGGAGCTAGCATATGGCGAAGCAAGCTCGGCGCTCGTCGCTGCCGGAATACTAGACGTGCTGGAAGACGTCGGAACACCGTGAGACTCGTTGCTCACGCCGTTCATCTCAAAGTTCTTCTCATACTCGGCGACAGAGAACTTGCGGTCGTAGTCGTTGTCCATCTGCATTTGCATCTGGGGAGGCGGCTGCGCCATGCCGGCATTGCCGAAACCATCAAAAATGTCAATATTGGCGAGGGCACAGTTCTCCGGTGCGTTCTGCAGCATGAGGTTGGTTAGGCGTGGCAGGACGTCATTGATCTTGGTGAAAAGCAGCGGCAGCACGTGGTTGTTGCCGTTGCGCATAACGCCGACAATGTTGAGGATCTGGTTGAGTTGCTCGCGAGGTCCGAGGCTGAAGGGATCCCGTGAGGCGGGCTGCGTGACGAGGAAGTCCATCATGTTCGAACCAATCTCAAAGACCTTCTCAATCTGTGGCTTGTTAGGGCGAGAACACGGAGGTTCCAGAATACAGGGATACTTACAAGTCCCGAGCCAAGCAGCTCCATGCCCTGTCCAGGGAATTGAGAGGCCATCTTCATCAGAAGGTCGCGTGAGAGGTCGCGAGGAACCTGCCAGTCGATGCCGTCGGCGTTATGAGAACTCATACTGCCATTGCTCAGCTGCCAGTGAGTAGACTTGAGCCACTGCTGGTTGGTGTGAAGGTTCGACAGGTTGTCGTCCTGGCAGAGATATGTCGGCAGCATGTCGGCCAGTTGCTTTTGCAGCGTGGCAATGTGCTGATGGGGTAGGTTGCTGCGAGTCTTGTTCCAGGAGCTGGTGAAGGCGTCGTCAAAGGAGTGGAACAACTTGACGAGCATGATGAAGCTCGTCAGTTCGTGTGCTTGCGGGTCGGTAGGGTCATCTGCAGAGGAAGGGGGCTTGATGCTGGCTTGGAGAGTAAGGGGTCGCTGGCGCTGGATGGCGTGGGCACGCTCGAGAACGAAGAACAGCCAGTAGAGCCGTCTCCTCCGGGACGACTCGGCGGCGTCCCACTGGCCATACGTCTCCTCCTTGTTCATACCACTCAGGTGAACCATGGTCGTAGCCTCGCGGAGATAGAACCATGCCTTGTCGTGCAACTCGATAGACTGGTAGATGGCGAAGATGAAGAAGCTGGTGGCGAGCGTGTCCAGAGTAGGACTGTCAAGGTAGTCGTGGCCACGGCGGACGCGGAGGCACTCCTCGAGAAGAACCTGGCTCGCTGCCAGATCGGCACCGGGATACATGTCGAGGTTGTAGTCGCCAAGGGGAAGAGCCATGCCGGGCTGAACAACCATGAAGCCACAGAGAGCCGTCAGAAGGCAGTAGGTATCGCGGTTCTGCTCCATGTAGGGCAGCTGCTGCTCGATCCTCCGGCGGTCGAGGACGGGTGCCTTTTCGTACAAGTTGGCAAAGTAGAAATCGAGACAGTCCTTGACGAGTTCAGGGGACAGCATGCCCGGCGTGGGGGCGCCGCCCATGGGCTCTGGCGGGCTGGGGATGCCATTCATGCGGTTGTGGACCTTGGCCGTCAGACTCGTCTGTCGCTGCGTCTCTCGCAACTCGCTGATGACCTTGGCGCGAGAGCCCTTGGGGCCCTTCTTCTGAGGAATGGCGTTGTAGGTGCATGACAGTTGGGCGGACGAGCAGTTACGACACGGGTTGATGCCATCGCACTTGACCTTGCGACGATGACAGGCGTCACAGGCCCTCTTGACGGCCTGGGACATGGTGACGACGACGACGACGGGCGTCCGAGAGTGAGCGACAGAGAGCGAGGTGTCAGAATAGCGTCCGAGTCAAAACGTGTCAACGGGCGTTGTCGACCGGTGTGATTGAGCGTCGGGGCTGGATAGAGTGCCCGAATGTTCGACTTTGGTGAGAGTTTTCGGTGTTTCTCCCAGGTCAGGCGTGTCAACTAAGACGCCCGGAAACGGTGATCAACGGTTTGAGGGCGACGACGATTTGTCGTTGCAGCACTTGGACACTTGAGTTCGAGGTGGGATTGGGCCTTTGCGGGGAAAGGAGCGTGAGTTCTGGTTCGCCTGGGCTGGGGTGGCAGCGAATCGTGGAGAGAGAGCGATTTGACCGAGAAGTATTCGGCCCTTCCTGCACAACAGAGCCTGCTTCGCTTGCCCAAAACGCGGGGGGGGCGCTGCGAATTTGCGAATCCGGGGATGATGGCTTCTTTGGACGTTTCGATCTTCGTTAGCCTCGTGGTGTCTGTGCGGTCGACGGACAACACGAGTTTGTTGCCAATACAGCAATCATCCAAGGCCGGGTGTTGTTGGTTTGCGC